GTCAACCAGGCGGGTCACCCTGTCATAGAAGCTGATCAGGTTTGATTGGCAAGACCTGCCTTTCATAAACCCATGTTGACTGGGCCTGATCACCCGGTTAACCTGTATGTGCTCATTAATAGCACTCAAGATAACCTGTTCCATGACTTTGCCCGTCACCGAGGTCAGACTGACAGGCCTGTAGTTCCCCGGATCCTCCTTCCGCCCTTTTTTGTAAATGGGGGTAACATCCGCCAGCCTCCAGTCCAGCGGAACTTCCCCAGTGAGCCAAGACTGCCCAAAGATAATGGACAGGGGTTTGGCAATGACATCCGCCAGCTCTCTCAGGACTCTCGGGTGGATACCATCAGGCCCCATAGACTTGTGGGCATCCAGCCGAAGGAGCAGATCCTTGACCCGTTCCTCTTGGATCACAGGAGCTTCGATTTGCTCTCCCTCCCCGCACTCAGACACCGAAGGCCAGCTCACCTGGGAACTGCTGACCTTATTATTAAAGACTGAGGCAAAGAAGGCATTAAGGACCTCAGCCTTGTCCTCATCCCTAGTGACTAACGTACCCCCTGAGTCCTTAAGAAGTTCCTTAAGAAGTGACCAGTGTTCACAATGTCAGGATTTGACTTGCATTATACACCCTCACATCCTGAAGACTTTTCACCCTGAAGTTAGTCTTTGCAGTAGTTATCAAGATGTCATTCATTTTCACAAGTCTTCTATCATTCACATATCCTTACAAGTGTGCTAACAGTCAAAAATCAGGGCAGTATTCCAAGAAAGATGCACTATTTACTTGTAGGTGTTCGGTTTCAAGATGTGCTGCTTATACATACTCACTTTAGTATAGATATTTGTACACCTATAGCTTATATGTATACACTGCAGGTGCACTTGTGCAAGCGCTCTTAGAAGATGTTTTCAACCTGTCAAATCTATTAACAGAGTACCCTGAGCACTCTCATCTCCTCCCTGAAGGAAAGGATTCCACGATTAGGCTGGAACTGAGGTCCGAGAGGGAAGGTCTCAGTGCTTCGCTTACGTAGGAGCTGGTATAAAATGCTGAGTATGGCTGGTAAAATGCCTTCCTTCTCAGAACTCACTAAAGGACATGCAAAAATCTTAGCAGGGTCTGAGTTTCCTTGGAAGAAAGTGTCATGTTACTACTAAGGCTGAATGAAGACATGACCTTCTTTCAGAGTCCAGACTTTCCCCAGCAGGTCAGATATCTACATTTACAAGTGTCTCCCCACATTTATCACTACAGCTGTTGTCAAGAGCTGCTTTGCAGCATCCTCTTAAGAAAGATGGAATTGAAGTCATCGCTCAGGAAAAAAAAAAAAAAAGATGAAAAAAATACTCCAGTTGGAAGCTGATTGCACTTATGAGTGCTTTGGACCAAAGAGTTTCAGATTTGTTTACACAGAACTGATGAACAGTGAAATATTTTTCTATATATTTCTCTACAAATTATCCAATTAGCTTAAGAGACCTCTCTGAACGCCAGACCTATAACCAGTCTGCCATTACACCATTACTGCCAGCAATGAGGAAAGCTCAGCTTAAACAAACGGGAACTTTCTGCCACCTTCTGGGATACAACACGGCATGCATACCCTTTTGACTCTAGTTAAGTATAGCACAGGGTTTTGTCACAAAGAATAAGCATCATCCTCAGAAAGTAGAACTAATAAATCAAGACTATTTTGAGTAGTGCAAGATGTTCCAGAGGGAGCAAAGTGGCAGTGATGTTCTTCTGAGATGTCCAAGCACTGAAGCAGCCTTTCAGGACTTTCTGAAGTAGACTTTCCATGGGTGTCAGGAAATACAGCTCAAGAGTTGCCATCAGCACTGAGGAAAGGTTCTTCTTTAAAGAGAAATCTGAGTCTCATCAGATTCCTCTGATGAAATAATCATTATTCTAATTCTATGTTTAGCAATGGCTTCTAGGTATGTTAGGGCACCCTCCAAGGAGTAACTTGGGTCTGGAGGATCTGAAGCACATGGCTGGCACAGCAGGAAATCAAGATGACTGTGTGTGCATACAACAGCTGAGGTACTATCACAGCAGCAGGAAGACTTCTACACTCTTCTTTGGCTGCAGCTCGCATTCTCTTTTCATTACATTTACGATGCTCAAAGAGTGAGATCTTGCATACAAAGTGTAGGTAACAGGACGACACAAATGCCTTTTCCCAGTAATAACTGACTCTTTCTTAATCTAAACTAGGAAATCACAGCTTGAGGACAAGATGATAGAAGTAGACAATAGTGCTCTACAGAGGGATTTGGATCTGGACAGGCTGGATCAATGGGCCAAGGCCAACTGTATGGAGTTCAAAAGGCTGAGTGTCTGGTCCTGCACTTGGGTCACAACACGCCATGCAACAATACAGGCTTGGGGAAGAGCAGCTGGAAAGCTGCCCGGCAGAGAAGGGGATGGGAGTATTGGTCTGCAGCTGGCTGAATGTGACCCAGCAGTGTGCCCAGGTGGCTGAGAAGGCCAACAGCATCCTGGCTTGTATCATTAATAGGGTGACCAGCAGGACAAGGGTAGTGATCATCCTCCTGTACTCGGCACTGGTGAGGCCACACCTGGAATGCTGTGTTCAGTTTTGGGCCCCTCACTACAAGAAAGACATTGAGGTGCTGGAGTGTGTCCAGAGAAGAGCAACAAAGCTGGTGAAGGGTCTAGAAAACAAATCTTATGAGAAGTGGCTGAAGGAACTGGGGTTGCTCTTCCCTTATAAATAAAGGCCTTTTTGAAGTAAAATAAAGATCTCAAAAGCAGACATGCATGAAAGCAAAGGGTACAGCTAAAACTGTACCAAAGTTCCAAATGAGTTGTAGAAGCCTTAGGTGTCATTCATCATATTTTTCTATTTTTCAGAGACATAAATCCTGGAATTGCTAAGTTTTAAAGCAGTAACTTACCTCTGCAAATAAAGGGGATATAACTGTAGACAGACATTGGGACAGAGGCCTCTTTGGGATATCCTTTTCCTTTAAAGAAACAAAATTCTGATCAATTTTATTTCTGAAAAAAGCATCCTCATTGTATTCTGTTTTTAATTAAAGAAAAAAGTAGTTCAACATGCTACACTTTATGAAAAATCTGTTTCTGTGTATATACAAGTGATGTAAAATGTTCTACAACAGACTATTCTAAAGCACTGTGGAAAATGGAGGGTGAATTAAAATTTGAGGCTGTGGCACCTCAAATACATGCAAGCTCAAAATTTAAGGAAAAAAACCCAAGCCCACCACCAAACAATCCTACTGAGCATGTACTAAATCATAGACGTGCTGATATTTACCAGGTTCCTCCCATATGATACAATATTTTTCTTATATTTCTCCAGTTCTGATAAGAGCACACACCAAGAATTTTCAGAGCCAGGGTAGCAACCGCTTGCCCCAGCTACACAGGCTGCGGAAAATACAAGGGAGCAGCCCCTAAACATTCCTTATTCTGGATTTTTTTTCTTGACAGGTACACATTCTATTCTTTGCTACATTGTAGACTTTTTTCCTAAAAGACCAGAATGCCTTCCCCAAAAAACCCAGTCTCGCTTTGCACTGTACTGGTTAAGTTGATTTTTAAAATCTTCCTTGTGTAAAGTAAAGTATTGCCTGGTCTTTCCCCAGTGGTAATATTTCACTAACTATAGAAATATTTTGGTACATATTTCATAAACTACAGAAAAGACGACACATTTACAGAATACCCAAACTTCAAGACCCGCTCAAAACATTTTCTGAAAGGCAACTGCAAAATATACATTTTTAGCAGAAGTTCTGAAAGTTTATGCTTTTAAAGGTATATAATAAGTAGACTCGTGAAAAATACGGAATCACCTCACTAAATTATTAAAGCAAGAATTATCACTTTGTATAATACAGTCAATATTTTGAGCACCTTATTTCTTTGCAACATCAAAGGTTGGGCTGCTCCATTCTCTAGATTCTTGGGGTCTTTTTCTCTTATTGTAAAGATCCACTCTCCTGAATCACTCCCACCTGAAGCCTGGCCATCTGGTTCACTTCAAGAAGGGGAAGAAAAAGTTTTGTTACCCACATCTTATTGTCCACATTCATTCAATATGCATGCTAAACACAAACTCCATTCAAGACCAAAATCAGGATTTTATTGTGCAAGTCAAGAAATGAAAATGGAAGTATCAAAAGTAAAATGATTTATCTTTTGGGGAGATTAAAAGAATGAAACCAAGATGCTTCACTAAACATTAAATTAACTTCAAAAAGAGAGAGAAGAAATATACATTGAAAACATTTTCCCAAGTTACATAAACAAGTAAAATGAAGTGGTTTATTGCTATCTGAAAACTGGCTTTAACAGAGTAACTCAAATCATTAGGGAAAGGAGAAGAATTTGAAGACTTAATTCACTTTTCTGCCTAGAAAGAGATCTAAGACACTAGCTTAGAATACCTTTGAGGAAGACAGTTCATCCTCAGCCTGCTAGCAAGGTAAATTTCCCACTTAAAACAATGGGCTAAAAAGTACAGTTATAGTATGGCTTTAACAAGCTACATCACCATAAATCAATCTTTTGCCTCATTTTTTGTGGATGGCATAGTACTTCTTTCTAAAACTCTTGTAAAGTTAAATGAATAAAAATATTTATGCTGACCCTCATCAGTCACTGCATTACATTTCTCCTCTCACTACCATAAATATCTATCTCTAAGTTCATTTCTTTCTGATCCGTGAATTAAGAATGTTTTGCAAGAAAACCACCAATTTAAAGGCATCATTCAAAAAGTATGAAGCACAACCTACCAAGTCAAAAAGCATGTGATCAGCGTAAAAATCATAGAATGGTTTGGGTTGGAAGGGACCTTAAAGATCATCTAGTTCCAACTCCCACTGCCTTTGGCAGGGGCACCTTCCCCTAGGGCAAATTGCTCAAAGCCTCATCCAACCTGGTCTTGAACACTTCCAAATGATGGGGCATCCACAACTTCTCTGGGCAACCTGTTCCAGTGCCTCATCACCCTCAGAGGGAAAAATTTCTTCCTTACATCTAATCTAAATCTGCCCTCTTTCAATTTAAATCCATTGCCCCTTATCCTATTACTACATGCCTTTGTAAAAAGTCCCTCTCCAGCTTTCTTGCAGGCCTCCTTTAAGTACTGGAAGGCTGCTAGAAGGTCTCCCAAGAGCCTTCTCTTCTCCAGGCTGAACAATCCCAGCTCTCTCAGCCTCTCTTCACAGAAGAGGTGCTGCAGCCCTCAGATCATCTCCGCGGCCCTCCTCTGGACCCACTCCAACAAGTCTATGTCCTCCTTACGTTGGAGGCCCCAGAACTGAAATTCTCCAAGATTTCTGCTTAAAGTCACACAGAATTTCTGGTTGTCACTGAGAAAGGCAGGTCTACCTTCCTTGTATACATTAGCTCTAGCCAGTTGATCCTACAAAAATACTTACTGATCTGGAAAGCTAATATTCCAGCAGGCCAAATAAACTTACCCTTTTATTTCAGCTAATATAGGGGCTGCTGTGGAAGCAGAAGAGGTGAAAGCAGGCTTAGACATAACATTAAATTGTCTCACAAGCACTGAATAACCACTCTAGTTGCACTAGTATCCTATGCCAAACTATCAGTTAGTAACTGATCTGAAATCAGTTTTAGGACTAGTAATTTACCTTCCAAATCAGATCGGGTTTTGTACTGGAACTGTGATCACTGGAAGGCATCAAGCGTTAATAATACAGGACAAAGACACAGCTGTAATGGCAGCCAAGAAATCATAACCAGTCTGATGCTTGCTATTAGCACAGAGACTGGAATTGCAGAGAACAATTTCTTGTTTTCTTAATTACGAGGATTTTAATCCATTTGTGAATAAACTGTGGTAATCCTGTCACTTGATTTTCAAAAGTGAGTAATCTGGTGATACCCTCTATTTTCAAAATTACTTTCAGACTAACAAAGTTAACTTTTTAACTGAGCCATAACTATGTGTAACTTGGTCTCCTAAGGAAATCAACTCATTAACCTATTGAACGGCTCCATCAAACTTTGATGGAAAAGTAGTAAAAATCGGAAAGGAAAGAAATCTGGAAATATTTACAACACTTCTCCTTTTTCAATAAATAATTTGACATTTCATGACTATCACACTGTAACGGCCCAGCCTTCCTGTAATGATAGAAAAAAAAAAAAACAAAAGCAAAAGAAAACCCCACCCACATCTCAAAAAAACAAACTAGATAATATGGTTTGTATCCCAAAACTCCATTATCACAGAAGCATTGTCCTCTCTTATATGCAAGGATATGCTTCCTGCCTGTTTACTCAGGTAGCCAAAACAATGGACAACCTGCCACCCAGGAGACAGCTCCCCTCCTTAGGTGGTCAAGCGCACACACAGCACAGTGCATGTGCACACTGCTACCTGACCATGCAGGGTGAAGCCTACCTTCTGCTTGCAGGACAAGAGTAACAGCTGGCCTTATGTCTAGGAAGGACCCTAGATCCCACATAAAAGAGAGAGTAGTATAGAATGGGCCAGAAGAATTGTTCTCAGTAACTGTTATTTGCATGAAATCCCCTGCAACACTGAAATCAGGATTTCATTAGTTTACCAAGGCTGCTAAGCTGAAAAGCTGTAAATAACAAACCACAGGAATGTATGTGCTAAAACTAACTACTTGGCTCCTATACTTAGAAAGGATATTTTACAAACTCATCAAACTTACGTATCAGAGTCATCAGAACTGGAGTCGTCATGACTTTGTTCAGATTTCCATCTCTTGTGCCTGTCAATAAGGTCAGTCAAGTAGGAAGTTTTCTTTGAGTTTCGTAAAATAAATTTGTGCTTTAAGAGCTCTTTTGCAGTAGGTCTCTTAAAAATAACAACAAAAAAAAATTTACTGCATTTGAGAGTGTTAAGCAACTCACTATAAAAAGACTCAGAAATCTAGATCTCAGTCTTGATACAAATGAGATTTTAAATATATATTCTATCAAAAAATAAAAAGAAAGATGCTGGTGAATATGTTGCCCCATACTAGAAAGGCTGAACTACACTTAGGCATGCAATTCATGTAAACCAGCCAAGTTCTCTCCTAAACGCTGACAAACAGATGAAACTCACAAAGCTTGGGTCCTTGTTTAAGCAGGCCTCAACAAATTCTTTGAGGGATTTACTGAAGTTTCCTTCCAGCGTTGGTGGATTGTTCTTGGGAATGAGGAACAAAACCTTCATTGGATGTAACTCTGAATGAGGTGGCTCTCCTTTTGCAAGTTCTATGGCTGTTATGCCTAATGACCAGATATCTGCCTGTAAGAAACAATGCTTTTAAGATTAGGTTGAAGAAAGAGAAGAAACAGCATCACTTGCAAAGGTAGATTTTAAACCTTTGCTGTCAATCATTTCATATGTAAATTGTTCTTGTTAACATGGTTTGGTTTATGCAGTTAACCACATAAAATACATAGACTTCCTTGGTTGTTTTTACTCTACAGTATAAAGCTGTTGTTCTTATTAGAGTTTTAAAACTTTTTTAAATCAATACTACTACACCAGCAGTTGTAAGTCATCTTGAAACACAAATATTTTCAAACAGGAATGGTAGATTTGTTATAAACTAGCATTTTATCCACCGTTTTCAGGTACACTATGTAAATATGGGGTAAGACGCAAATACTGGCATAAACAAAAATGTTATAACATGCACAAGATTTTTCCTCAACAAGCATCAGCTAGTACAACCATCAGAAATTTAATATATTAGAATATAATTTTCCTGGGGTTTCACACTGTCTTATATATTGTTCTCATTCACAAACTGGAGAAATGCAGTCTAGAACAGTATTATTCAACTTTTTTAATCCAAGATTTCAACGAGTCAAGTATTTGGTCCAAGTAACTCCTGAAACACTGACAGCATTTTTCTACCGGATCTGCTTTGCAGACGTCCTGTGAGCCTATGTCTTATAGGCCAAGAAGGCTTAATCTAAATCAAACTTCTCTAAGTCATGCCCGTGCAAAATGCAGACCCCAAGGCTCACTGCCAAGTTAGAAGGACAAATCAAGTAATGCAGCAGAGACCAGTGCTAGATCAGCTACCATTTAATTTCATTGTCAAGCTGGATTCACACTGATACTGAATGCCACAATACACATATTGGTGGGGGGGGAACATTATTTAAATCTAATTATTTACATTTAAGATTATTTAAATATATTTGTTTCATCATCAAAACATGCTACTCTTTCTAGGGAACACTGTCTCCCTAGATCCAAATCCTATTGCCAAATCTGCGTGAAGTAAATAGGAAGCAATGTATCATAATTCTCTATGTTCTGCTGAAATAATAGACCTAAAACTCAAAAGAACAGATGAATAAACAGAAAGGTCAAAGAAAAAAAATTTAGAGAAACATCAGCTCCAAAGGACCAGGTATCAATTAAAAATATCTATGTTTTGTTTTTTTCTGTTTCTTTTGAAGTGAAAGCAGAACAAAGACTCATTCTCAGGAAAGCAGGAAAGATCTGAAGTGAGCTGTCTGGTCTTACTCCCAAACCGAGCACCTGGAACTTCGCTATGCTGCAAACGGATGTATTTCCAGGTACTGAATAGAGTAAAGATTTCGTTTCTCATTGCCATCCTTAGCATCCCTCTAATCCATCTGTCTCTGCTCAACTGACATGCTAGGTTATTTTTGACTAACTCATACAGGACTACAGGCTGATAGCTGCAACATATGCCTCCGTTCCACTATCGTAGCTACACTGCACAACTGAAAACAAGCCCCTTCTTCCTTGTTCAGGCAGTATTCTATTGTTCAGAGCTTAGTTACTTAATTTTGCAAGTAAGTATGGGGAAAATAAATCAATTAGCATACCATTGAGTTTATGAAACGATGGTTTTGTTAACTCATGTTACAGAACTGCCATCTCACACTGAGCACAGAGGTTTACATCGGCACATGAGCTGAGTTTTATTTATTTTACTAACAGCATTGCTAGCTAAGCTCTCCTCAAGTCTGAGTATATTTCTGAGAAACTTCCCTCTAGCAGGAAAGCTTTTCTTGGTTATGAAAGAAAAACGTCGTCTGCAAAGAGGAGTCTTTGTGTTAACAACTGAGCATTATTATTATTTCCGATTTATTCTGAATTTCAGTTTCTCAAGAGGAATGTGTTAAAGCCATGTAAATGGATAGATCTTCTTCTGCCAGACTTCCAGTCGCAAATGGAATATGTGTATATGTAAGTATAAAAATCAAATTTTTATGTGTACGTGTGCATGGATATCCACATACACACACACATATAAAAACACTTCCTTTTTTCCCCCCTCATATACTTATAACTTTCTACTGCTAGTGACCTTCTTCCACAAAAAATGAACATTAAGTCCAAAAAAACACTGCTGCACACTCAACTCTTTCAAGTCCAAGGTGGGTTTTGGAAGCCCATCCTTGTTGGAAACATCAAGAATAAAACCCCCAAACTCCTCTGGAATTGTAACCTCTCCTTAAACAGATAAGAAAGGATCTCAAAACAGGGGTACGAGTACCAATTGCCTGTGTATCCAACCAGGCATTTCTAGGATGCACTTGTCTGTGACAACGGAACTCCAGAAGAGGCACAAATCAGTCCTCCAAATGGGGAGGAGCATGACCTTAAGAAGCAATGACACTATATCAGCACTGAGTTTTACCATATGTTACAATTTTTAGAGTTTCAAATCTTGAAAAATTAGTCTTCCAAGTTCAGATGAGAATTAGCAAATCAGTGGTAACCACTATTTATTGCAGTACTACCATGAGCCTTTCCTCTTCCATTCTATTGAGTGAAATTTAGTCTGATTTTGAAGTTCTTGTAAGTCAAGGAAAACAGGCTATGTTCAAGAGAAAAACATTTTTAAATTAAATATTTATTTTTCTATTAGAAATTACATAGTAAAAAAGGCAGAGAACTAGATATAGGAAAACTGAAGCAGATAAGAAAAGATGCTGACTTTCAGATGAAGGAAGGAAACAAAAAACCAGAAGCAAGAACTATTGCCAAATTTACAGAAATCAGAAAGAAAGGAAAGTTCCCATAAGGACATTATATCAAAGAACAAATTGTTTGGAGAGAAGGAAACAAATGGTATGGGAAAAGATAAATAAGAAAAGAAATTCAAAAAACAGGTGGTAGCTTTAATGTAACTATTATAGTCATGTTTTGATATTTCACTGTTTTTCCCTGTGGTTGATAAAAATCTTTAGCAGCTAGATTTTGTCACCCCTGTGGACTACTTGAATTTTAAAAATAAACTACAAGGGAAAATGAAAAATAAAGTTGAAATTTTGCTATCGAGTACACCTCCCAGATTAGCTACTGACCACATTAAAATGCAAATGTTATCACTAACTTACTCGCTCACACAAGCCATCTGGAAATCTTATGTTCTCAAATATATCAGTCTCAATTATTATTTACAAAAGTCTGATAGATACTAAAAGTTCAACAGCTTCTATGTCAAAAATCACATACTGTAGTAGAGTGTAAGTCATGGTCAGGAAATCCACCAACTGCCCACAATATTAAGGTAAGTGATAGTGCTGAATCAACAGGAGACCTTAAGCTTTACAGCAATAAGTAGCAACGTCCAACCTCAGCATCCATCTGCCTTCTTTCAGCCTCGTTAGTAGTTTTATGTCATAACTTAGGTTTTGCTTTGTCTTGCAGAGTTGTGCTATTTCAGCAGTCAGCATGAGCAAAGCATCAATCTCATCAGAAAAGGAGCAGTAAACAATTTAACAGCTGGTGTGAGGCATACAGTAAACGAGGAAAGCAGCAGATGAGCTGTGTGAAAGAAGAAGGTGAACTGTGCCCAAGGTAGTGTTACAGAGCACTTTCAAGCTCTTATTTGGAACCCATCAGCACATGGGATGTAAGAGGACTGGACAGGGCGAAGAATAAAACTAGCATGACTAGGTGATGGAAATTGCTTGCACCTCACTGGGAGTGTGCTATGAAGAGGACAGTCCTGCCTAACACCTCTCAAGCACGGCTCGCTTATGGAAGGAAAATGAGGTTCACTTTGAATGTCAGTGTTCTCACATATGCATAAGACTATCCTAAAATAAACAGGACTTCTCAAGTGGTTGTTGTTGCACAACAGCAAAACTATTGTCTGTACAATTCAGTCTGGTCTCTAAGTGTGAAAATGCTCACAGACACAAATAAGTATCTCTAGTTCATTCAAAACCTGATCTCTGGCCTTCTAGGGAACTAAGCAAATATCCAAGACCTTTTTATGTCCACATGACACTGCAGACTGAGAGCCGGAATTCAAAACCTGAATCATGCTTTGTCCAGGTGAAAATCATTCCCAGAGGCCAAACCTCAAAAAGACTCCAACCACCGCCACGCCAAAAAAAAAAAAAAAATCAACATCCACAAAAATTGGCTTACTCAACCTTCAAATTGGGAATTGGGGATCATTTAAGCTTCTGGAGGCTCAACAGAGCTCTGCTAGTTATTTTTAAATAGCCTCTCTACAGAAAGGTATCAAATAGGGAAGGCAGTAATACTATGAACAATCCAGGCCAGAGTCAGTATTGGTGAGTTCCTTACACAGATGAGGGTGGAAAGAAACATGCCCAACTTGTCTTATTGCATGGAGATGTGACCAATCAACAAATCCCTACAAGAGGATGTGAGAAGAAGGACAAGAAAGACGAGCTCAGGGAAGAACATAAGGAATGACTGCTAATTATCATAAAGTAAGCCAATATTATCTCAACACAAGCAGGACTGGGGGGAACTGTTTCAGATACACAGTTCCACCAGTGGGCCACTGGGTTGTGCAAACAGCCCTCCCTGATATAATGAGTAGAGCAGTGTCCTACTGAGCCAGGCTGGCACGGGGCAGGGTGAAGGGAGGGGCAGCAAGGAGGCATATACGTAGCTCAGTCTAACAGAAGTCTAAAAACCAAGCAACTGACAAAATAACTTTGAAAAGAGCAGTGAGCTGGCTTCAGTGCACGTATTCCCTCCCGGCAACTGGAGACACCCAGTGCCATGCTGGTGAGCATACGGAGACCAGTAACGGGAACCACGTTCCTGTTGTGATCTAACTGTATATTACAATTGATATATTGTGCTTGTGTTGTGATTTTGGTACACTGCTGTATCACTCTGCTAAATCAAAACCCTGTGTAATGTAATTATCTATAGATAGTAAATCTAATATTAAACATTAAAACCTCTCTGTACAGCATATCTAAAAAGAACACAGCATAGCAAGAGAGTAGCATAGACCTATGCAGCACATTCTTCCACAGATGAGTAACAACTCTTCCACATCCATCAAATCCATACTCTTTGATAGTGTTGCTGACTATTTTTTTCTAAAAATAAGTGGAAGCATATTAAAATTCTACTTTTAAACAACCATCGAAAGCACCCATCAATAGAGTGGGATAAGACGTGACAGAATATACTTGCCAAAACTGTAATGCTTCTTGCCATCTGGATGGGCTTAATACACGAGGAAACTTCACGTTTGGATACAAATTAGGAAAGTTTCTTTCCTTGCCAATAGCTTTTAGCTGCTATGTATCATCTAAACATATACCTGTCTAGACACAACCAAAGTTATTAGGTTGATCTTCAAAACGTAGCTATGTAATTCAAGTTAAAAAAGGGACTTTGCTTACTGCCTTGAAATACCTTACCTTTGAATCATATGCCGATTGCTTTATTACTTCAGGTGCCATCCAAAATGGTGTTCCCACAAAAGTATTCCTCTTTATTTGTGTATCGGTTAGTTGTCCTGCTACTCCAAAATCTGCTAGTTTCACTTCTCCTTGTTCAGACAGCAATACATTAGCAGCTGGAGTAAAAAAGCAGAAAAAACAGAAATTAAGACATTTGACAGTATAAATGTCTTCATTTATATTGCATTATCTCTTCTAATATTATTATAATACAAATAAAAAACAATTTACCTTTAATATCTCTGTGGATTTTCTTTTCTGAATGCAAGTAATCAAGTCCTTTGAGTATCTCCCTCAATATTGTGGCAATCTGGGTTTCATCAAGTGAGCCAGGTTCTAACTAGGAGACACAAGAAATATTTATGCATATATGTGTGTATATTTATATACAAAAAGAGAAACAGAGAGAACAAAAATAGCACTGTGACTGTAAAAACAAATTACTTCTCCTGTCACACCTCAAACCTTCCAATCTGTTAACTCTGTAACATGAGATACAACCCAGAATATTCTTTTAAAAAAAAAAAGTACATCATTCTAAACTAAGTGCTCTTATGAACAACAAGCAAGAAATACTACATTTATCTAAAACACTTTTTCAAATTTGTTAAAGGCTCCGTAAAGACACAGTTTCAAGTTCTTGCTTTGTGGGTCAGGTCATAGATATGCACACTGCCTTTGAAAAGCATCTACACTGTAATCTTATTATTAACATTACACTGAACTTAGACGTGCAACTCCACAAAGTCTGAGAAAAACTAAGGCATGTAAGGTACCATATCAATCACAAATCCTATTACTATATACTGCACAGGATTTTGTGAAGCTCTCTAAATTATTAGAATTAAAAGGTTCTGAGTAATTTAATTCTTATGAGAAGAAACAGCAGAGGTAGAAGATCTCAGAGCTCTCTACATTTGATGTAAACTCTGAAAGTGAGCACGCCTCTAACTCTAAAGAGACAGAATAAAGGTCACTAGCCAGAGAGGCTTCTTAGCCAATAAGGGCATTTTGAGAGAAACACGGAAACTTTGTGGAAAACAATTAATATTGGAAAGATTTCAGTATTCTAGTTTACTCCACAATAGCAGCCACTGAAATACAATCGCAAAGCTGGATTGCTGAAGATTTACTCTGTGAGGAAAAAAGCATTTCAGACAAAAATTAAAATACTACATCCCCCAGAAATCCTCAGCTAATAGGTAGGAACAGAGGTAAGGTTTCAGGTAATGCACACAACATATTTGTTCTACCTTTGTAGCTTTGCTTACCATCTTTTTTTCTTTTCTTTAGCTTTGCTAACTTTGTCCTGATAATATCAATGCTAAGAGATGAATAATTTATCTTAGACAAACTGACATTTATAAAGGAACGTTCTGTTCTTCTGAGATCAACAAATAGGCATATACATGATACTGCCACTCCCCGAAACCCATTAAGACTTTCTCAGGGCTTTGCTCTGGCGAGGCAGCGAGCACCAGTTCAAGACTTGGCAACATGATACAGCACATCTAAGTGGGGGAAACCCTTTTTGTCAGATGTTAACTCATGAGTGAGGAGGAACTTAAGTGAAAACAGATTATGGCTTAGAGTATCAGTGCTTGTACCTCATCCACAAATCTAAATTGTATCTTGTTTTTCAACTCTGAGTGTATGTAATTGCATTAAATGTACTTTCTCTAGTGAGGTCTGATTTTCAAAACAGCCAGTGCACATTCAAGTACAGAAAACACCAGGCCAATATGACATGTATGCAGTTTGGACATGGAATTCAAGGTTCCCATTCAATCTTGCCTCGAGTACAAAAACGTTATCAAGTGTGCCAGCTGTCCTACCAGATTCCAGTTGAGAATCAAAATGTGCATTTCAGAACTAGGAAAACGTGCAGCAAAACATAAACTGAGAATGAACGAAGGTACATACAAGATGCTTAATATACACTTCTATGATTATTTCAGTTCTGTGGCACAACTGCTTCAGTAACATTTCAGGATGTGACCAAAGACTTTGTACTATTTCTAGGCAACAGACTTAGGGAATAAACAAGTGGTTTTCATACAGAAAAAATGTGTGTAATTGAAAAAAAAAAGACAAGAAAATACAATATCTGTTTTCTTTCTGCTTTTTTATACCTGTTTGAAGCACAAAGAAAGTAATTTATGAAAGCAAATCCAGTTTCTAACTGCTCTTCTGTCAGGGAGAAAAAACTCTCACAACAATAAATAACTTTTTTCGGCATATCTTTATGGGGAACATTATCAATTTCTACACAGCCACGGAACTCCTTCTAACAAGATGTGGAAGCTAAAGGTATAAATGGGTTCCAAAAGGTAATTACAACTAAAACACAGCACAACTGCAGCAAGCCTGCATTTACTGCTCTCTCCTGTCTTCTGGATGTCACCAGAAGAATCCCTCTACGCTGGCCTTTTTCCTTTCGCTCTTTCCTCAAGCATTTATTAGTTGCTCCAGTTAAGAACAGCAAACTATGCTACAGTCATTCAGTTTCAATTGGTACAACAATTTTCACATACTTAAAGTATCCATTTTTATTTCTAAAATAGTATTTTTAAAATCCACAATAAATATACAATGGTGTGTGATTTTGTCTGGGGTTTTTTTAGTAGCTAAAGCGAATGGATAGCATCCAGTCACAGAAAACAGAATCTGCACTGGACTTTTGAATTACGATTCCAAACTGGATACTCCATCCCACACTCCAACCCACGTGCTGAATGTAGCACTTGTTAAATTTCATACAGTTGGTGATCGCCCAGCTCTCTAGTCTATCCAGATCTCTCTGTAAGGCCTCTCTACCCTTGTGGGAGTCCACAGCTCCTCCTATTTCTTTGAAATGTATTTTTTAATACCGGCCTAAATTGTGTTTCTGACTATTTAGACTTCAGTGAGACTTCAAACAGGGAAGCCTTCATTTGTTTGCTTGAGGGTGGTGGTGGTTGGGAAGATACATGAAAATGTGGTGGCACAATTAAGAGGCAGAAAAAACTGTTTTCAGCCACTAGCACACTCTGGCTGACTGAAGATTAGAATTCGAAGATGTTTATACCCTGCTTCCAATATTATGTTGCTTAGTTCCCTTCCATCTACACAAATAATCAGTCCTGCCTCATGGAAAAATAACATTTTCCTGGCATTGACAAATACATTTTCTCCTTTACTGGAAGTAAACATTGTCATAGCCAAATGACATATTATAGTTTCCAGATTTATTCCAGAAAAATAATTATGTGAGGTAAAATAACAAAAATCATATATAATTTACTTACTAGATCAAGGGCAGAGCCTCCACCCAGATATTCCATTATGATCCATAATTTTGTATCCTGTAAAACAAAACCAACAGAAAAATGTATAGCGTTTTTTTTTTTTTAAAAAAATCAGTTATTAAGTTAATGGGACTTGTTCCATTCTTTTCTGCTGAAGAAAGAATCTACAGTTTTGAAACACCACTAATGTTTAGCTACTTCTCAAAAATATCTTTGGATTATTCTTCAAGACATACGATTTTAGTCCCATCTGATAAGGAATGAATCTGTTAGAAGTTATTTAGACAATTGTGTGTATTCAAGAAAGTTTAAATCTGTTCCTCTAAATTAACAAGAGGAAAGCTATTTCACATTTACCAGTGGGTAAGAGCACAGAAATTAAAAATTCATTACTTCCAAACAAATGATGGATAGTCTTAATGTCACACACAAGTTCATTTCATGGTACCTATTTTTAATACTGATACTAACTAATACTACTAGAACATAGACAGCATCCAGGGAAGAAGAAAATTCTCCTTAATCTCTACCAAAGAGTCAAGTAGCAGAAGGAAACTTCTTGGCTTCATGCTGACTAGAACCGGACAAGTGTTGTGAGCCTGAGTTCACCAGCATATTAACTCTCAAAAGCCACCCACCTAGTTGTTCTTATCACACTCCTTAGTACATTTTGCAAAAGCATCTTCTGAGACAAGACAGACACAGACAAGGGCCACTCAATGAAAATGGAGCAGAATAAACGTACACTTTAAACTCTGATTATAAGCATTCAGAATACACTACATAAAATGTATTTCCTTTCCTTAGAAAAACAGTCTTGATTTTATTGATTATATTTATTGTACAGATACTCCAAAGTAGTTTCTTTAGCAAGTCTGACTCCTGTCTAGATTGAATTTATTCTTCGCTTCCCTGCATTGTTTCATTTTCTTCAACAGTCATCTGTCTCTGACTTAAGGAAGAATACCAGTAAGTCTTCTCCATTAATGCTTACGTATCTGATATATGGTACAGAATTTTGGACAACTGTGTTCAAGAAAGACGAAACAAACTAGTAATAAAGATTATTTAAGATTACTAGAGCAATAAAAAAAAAATCAAGCTACTATATTCTCAAGGGAAAGCTTGATACATAGTATAGGAATCACAGAATGGTTTGGGCTGAAAGGGACCTTAAAGATCACCTAGTTCCAACTCCCCTGCTATGGGCAGGGACACCTTCCCCTAGGTCAAGTTGCTCAAAGCCTCATCCAACCTGGCCTTGAACACCTCCAGGGATGGGGCATCCACAACTTCTCTGGGCAACCTGTTCCAGTGCTTCACCACCCTCAGAAGGAAGAATTTTCTCCTTAGATCTAATCGAAATCTCCCCTCTTTGAGTTTAAACCTATTACCTCTTGTACTATCACTACATGCCTTTGTAAAAAGTCCTTCTCCAGCTTTCTTGTAGGCCTCCTTTAGGTACTGAAGGCTGTTAGAAGATCTCCCCAGAGCCTTCTCTTCTCCAGGCTGAAAAATCCCAACTCTCTCAGCCTGTCTTCATAGGAGAGGTGCTCCAGCCCTATCTCTCCCAGGAAGGGGGGGTGGGGGGGAGAATGCCTTCAAAATTTACATTTAATTTTAATAGTAATTTAAACACAAGCATATCAACTATATCACTAGTTTTTATTTCAATGGAAATGCCTGGGGGTGGGAAAGAATAAGGTAGGATAAACGAATCCCTTGATACTCACAAAAATAGAAAAAAAAAAAAAACAAACCACACAACAAAAAACAACAAAGCCAACAAGCAACCTCACCAAGAAGTCAGTAAGAGATGCATCTTCCCTTTTCTATCATCTCCATTACCTCGTAGATCTAAAGAGCTAACAGCTTACACGAGATTCAATTTGTCAAAAGATAAATTCTCCATAAAGTTAGCTACTGAACTCTCCAGTTGAAAATTAGAGGTAGCAGAAAATAAATTTCTAAAAAAATTAAGAATATCATTTTAATTACGTAGTGACACAACCACATAACATAGTTACACAACTACAAATTATGCAATTTATGGTATTTTTAAATCATCATTTATTCTTTCCAATTCTTCTCTTGGTTTGCTCCTGAAACTTTCATCATCAACCACTCGGAGTCATATTCTGAATTTACAATATAAAAGCCATGGACACAGTAAACTCAGTAGTAATACATTTTAAAACAATTAAAGTATGGAAATGCAGTTAGGGAACACACATATAGCTGTGTCTGTATCCCAGTGCAAAGCTAAGCAACAGCAATCTATTACAATTATGGCATCTTTATATCTGTAGCCCTAGATTCAAAGTGATTTTTAATTCCCTATGGTTCCCCCTCCCCCGTACCACAGAAATATTACTCAACTGCATGGGTATCTAAGGGCTTTTTAAGTTTTGGGGTCTTTGCATTATTCATATGAAGAATCTGAACAGATGTAATTACTGTTGTAGTGAATCTTACTATCACCTTTAACTAATTCTTGCTGGAATTTTTTTTTTTTAGCTTTCTTATTTAAAATCTGCACACATGGCTTAAAAAGAAAAGGCAAGGAAATGCTTTTGGCGAGACAGTTTTAATGAATTGCTTAATACATATTCTACCTTAGAGACAGTAACTTATATATACTTACTTTATGCCTTGTAGCAACAGCACAAGGCAAGTAGAGCACTATCAATTGACTTTGGCATCACCAGAGTAACATGCCTCCTCCTTTCCTGCCTTTCCAAGTATCTCTGGCATGCTTCACATTCTTTAACACCTACTGTCACTTTCCTTTTTAAAGCTACTCAAATTCTTTTTTGCTTGTACTTCTCGCATTCTTCCGTATGCATTCCCCACTTTCCCTCTCAAAAAGAACACTGAAAGCACTAAATTTTCTTCCATAGCCTAGATTAGTAGTTACATATCACATGCAATCTTCAAGAAGATACTACACATGTACCGAGACTAGCAACATTCCGTGCTCCATTTTAAGATCTGAAGTGAGATCAGCTTTCTTCTTTTAAGCATCAGTCACAACACAGCATTGAATTTTCTTCCAAATACAGTGAAGCCACGATGAGTCATTTATTTGAATTTATTTCCCTATAAATTTAGGATTATTATTTCCCTATAAACATAGATGAGCACATTCATGAGAGCACATGGAACATTTCCTTTCCACAGTAGGAACAAGAGGTTTTCCTCTGATGCCATAAAACTGAGGAAAGGAACAGCTTTGGAATCTAAAAGAAGCTATTCTACATAAAGGCAGAGTTTCTGTAAATCCTTTCCAAACTAGTTTGCTCCTCTTGAAGTCTGACTTCTGATTTTAAGTCTGGAACCACACAAAAACCTTACAATAGCAGCTGTACCTCTAATGAATTATCCTCAATTATGTCATTGTTATACCATGGAAGTATTTGCAAGATAAATGCAGTTATAGCAGGTAAATAACTTCTCCTAATATGTAAAAATCAAGGACTATACACTGAAAAAAAAAAAGGCCATCCACCAAAAAACTCCTCTAGAGTCTCAGAAGTATATTTTAACTGAAATCAGAGTAGTATAGACAACATATAAAGAAGTAACTAATCAAGATTAAAATCCTAGAGTCTCAGAAGTATATTTTAACTGAAATAAGAGTAGTATAGACAACATATACAGAAGTAACTAATCAAGATTAAAATCTTTGTTTGTAAGTCCTTACTAAGTTAATAAAACATCTGAATAAACATAGAGAGGCCTATCTTTAGAGAGGGATTGTATTTTTTTTTTTTTAATTAAGAAGATACTCACACATTTCTTAGCACTGTGATATTATACAGGAGAGACTGACCTAAAGCAATCAAGCCACAATATGCATTGATGAAAATGTTTGAGGGAAGGAGAGGTTGCAGACCAAAACATAACAGAGCCACAAAAGAGAAGGACCAGAGGATTCGGAATTAAGAGCAAGTGACCTGTACAGTAATTTAGAATTTAACTAAGAGTCTTAAATCAAGGAAGCCAACTAATGCAATTTGAAAACAGTAGTACAGTGAGCACATATTCGTTTCCAAGTGAAGTAAAATCCCCCCACCTACTGCGAGAAAGACAATTTCCCACCTTAAATTTATGGTACACAATTAGCAGCAGAATAGAGGGTATTTATAAATATGTATAAAAGGTTTGTTTAGTTCTGCAGACAAGCCACCTCCAAATTCCACTTAGAATCTATATTTACAAGCACTCTAACTTAAATCAACTATCACAAGCTAGAAATTACATACTTGATTGAAATAACACAACAGATTTGCTAATCAAAATCAGAACTAGCTTAAATTGATCTATATACTAAAAGCTTTACCATCACTGGAATAGTAGAAAAATTTACAGTACTGAAAAACAAAGACAGAAACAGAGTTCCTTGCACTGAATTCTCCTCAACCAGTCTGAAAAGAACAAACTAGTTCCAAAACTCCTATGTGTTGCAAAACACGATGTGTGACTTTTTTAATAAAAATTTCAGTTTAACTGGTATATATGTAATATGGGCCACAAAAAGAGACTTTTATTTCAATATTGGTATAAATTTAGTATTAATATTCATATGGGTTCTCCAGCATAAGAAACCAGATTAAAGGAACCTTGAGATACACGGTGTATGCAGCAGGATAACCTCTCTAATCTGCTACAGGTTGTTACCACTCCCTGTGAAGATTTGTCTACTGTTCACTTCATATATAAAAACACCCAGGAAAGTTTGACGGCTGTAGCAACAGGAAGCTTATCAAAAACTTGCAGGCCAATTCTTAGAGGCCTGACTTCAAAAACATGATGTGTAGAGATCATGGAATGTCTTCTATAATTACTTTAAGCAACCTCGCCCACCAATTCCCTGTTTCAGAAGGAAAGAAGGATTAATGTTTTTTTTCAGGATTTCTTCACACTTGTGCTTTTAACTATGCCTTTGAAGCCCAAGCCACCAGGTGGCAGAATCACATAACGCCAAAGATGCCAAGAGGGTCCGACCCCCAAGTAAGCTGTGCCACCCACCGAAGACAGACGCACAAAACCACCTG